CGCGGGGTCCCCGGTGCTGCCGTGGGTCGGCATCCCCATCCCCCCATGGGCTCAGGGAGCCCTGGTGTCCTCAAAACCCCCCCTCGGTCGAGTAACGGGAGCTCTCCTGCCGCACGCAGGTGTTTTCTCCGTACAGAAGAGGGTGGCCCCAGAGCTGAGTATTCGCAAGAAGGACTTGGGAGACAGAAGTGCCTGAGAAGACAAACTTTTCCATTCCCACAAGAGGTTTTATTTTTTGATTTTTTTTCTTCGCTGTGGGTCTGTGGAGAAGGTCCTTCCTCCTGGGACTGCTTTAAGCACCTACTGCCGCATCCAGCATCCAAGATACTGTTTCTGAAGCTTTAAAACACACAAACCCTGCACCGTTAGCGACCTTTCATTGGCAAAATAGTCTTTTCTATGAATATATATTTCTTTTTTATTTTTAATATGGTGCCAACGGCTTTTGCCGTCTTTAAGTTTGTGCTTTCTAACTTCCCCACTATTTGTTCTGCGTGTTAGTGTTCTAGGAAAGGAATCTAACACGGGAAAACCTTTTGCTTTCTGTGAACTCTAACTTAATCAGGCCAATCCAGAGTTTGCTGAAACCAAAGGGTGCCGTGTCCCAGGACCTTCGTTTTAGCCATCGGGATGTCTGCGGTTTAATTCTTTCCGATCAGCCATTGGGGAGCTGACTTTGTGTACCTGCCTATCCTACCAGTACCCGTAGAGGAGTGACTCCAGCATTAGGAACTGTGTCCTTGTACTGATCTCTGTTGCACATTTTAACCCGTTTCCCTTCTTTTTGGTGAGTGGTGTGTTTCCGTCCCCTCCTCCCTTATCTAACGCATTTTTTAAAGAGGCTCTAGATCTGATGGTGGTTTAACGCTTCCACCGGAAAGGGATGGACAGTTACTGGAGTGTGGTTCAGGAATGGAAGATTTTATTATTTCTGTAAGTTGTTTTTGTATAGACCAAAGCAAAGAATAAAATAACCCCCCAGCCCCGTGTTGCCCTGAGCCTGTTCTTCTGTCAGCTGGGGAAGGTCAGTGAGTCCCCTTGGGGCAGCCGGGGTGAAGGTGGCCATCGCCCTCCTTGGGCCAAGTGTTGGTGGTTCCCTCCCGTGGGGCTGGATGGCCTTGGATGAGCTCGTTCCCATGCTCTGCACCCGCTGTGCCTGGCCGAGGGCTCAGGTGGCGGCCGGGGGGGACAAGCAGGCTGGGCCTCTCCCTGTGCCTCGGGGACAACGCTCAGCAAGGCACAGGCCACCCGCTCACAGCCCCGCAGCACCGGCAGCAGCTCCCACCGGCAGCCCTGCACCCGGACTCGTTGCCAGCCCTTCCCTTGCCTGTTGCTGTGCTGGGTCGTTAGCATGCCGGCTCCATCCAGGTGTCTGTCTGCTCTGTCAGGAGGTAAAAACTCCCAGTAATTAAGATGTTTGTTCATTAGGCAGCATCACCAGCATCTCCTCTCTGCTGCTGCGCAGCGCTCACTTTAACAAGCTCTGGGGGATAAACACGCCGGCCGGGAGTGAGCCCTGCTGATTGATGGAGTGAAACCTAGATGGAGCTGCGAGAGGCCAGGTTAAAAAAAGTGATTTACTCAGTCAAATGTGGTTGCCTCCTTCCGCAGCCCGGCTTCATAGCGGGAACAGATGGCAGGAGAAATATTCTCAGCTGAAACGCTAACTCTGACAGCTGCGCCCGGGGAGGGCGATGGGGAAGCGGCGCCGGGCGCCAGGCGGGGATCGTGCTGGGAGGTGGAAACTGTCTGTTCACAAAGTTACCCACCAACTTCAGGGCTGCCCATCTGTTTGGCGGCTTCCTCGGCATGGGGATGGGGCCAGGGACAGCCACCACTGACAGCCGGCCGCCCCGGGCTTTCCCACGGCACCTTTTTGGGCAAGAAGGCGCAGGCTGAGCCCGGAGGCAGGAGACTGCCTGCAGCAGCTCCATGTGAGGCTGCGGGTGGGGGCGGGGCTGTGGGTTTTGCCTGCTGGGGTGTACGTGCTGGGGGATGGAAGGGTGAAACACGAGTGGCCCCGGGATGCCCACGTCCCCATGCCTGGCGTGTTTGTACCTCTGCCCCATGCATCCATCCTGCGGGGGACGGCTGGGGGCGTGGGGACTCCTCAGGCAGAGGTGGGGGACCTGGAGAGGGGAGTCAGGTCATGCAGCGATGTCTGCACTGTGCGGGTGGCTCAGGGTGCTGTGCTTGCTGCAT